ACTAGCAACAATACTTGTTAACTATCTTTAGTTAACTAACTTACTGAGTAATAACCAGCAACAATACATGTTAACTATCTTTAGTTAACTAACTTACTGAGTAATAACCAGCAACAATACATGTTAACTATCTTTAGTTAACTAACTTACTGAGTAATAACCAGCAACAATACATGTTAACTATCTGTAGTTAACTAACTTACTGAGTAATAACCAGCAACAATACATGTTAACTATCTTTAGTTATCTAACTTACTGAGTAATAACTAGCAACAATACTTGTTAACTATCTTTAGTTAACTAACTTACTGAGTAATAACCAGCAACAATACATGTTAAATAACTTACTGAGTAATAACCAGCAACAATACATGTTAACTATCTTTAGTTAACTAACCTCAGTGATGTTAACTATCTTTAGTTAACTAACTTACTGAAACTATCTTTAGTTAACTAACTTACTGAGTAATAACCAGCAACAATACATGTTAACTATCTTTAGTTAACTAACTTACTGAGTAATAACTAGCAACAATACATGTTGTTTATCTTTAGTTAACTAACTTACTGAGTAATAACCAGTAACAAAATCAGATAACCTTTGCTAATACCATCAAAGAATCCCACACTTAGCAAATAACCAGGCACATCTCTTTGTTCGTTATTTATCAAGACATTCCTAATTTTATGTGAATATTTCACACATTTCCCATATTTATTCCCTTTTTGTTTGTTTCTCTGTTCAGTCATCAATACATAATCTTTCAATTTACATGTTCATATTAACCACAATAAAATGATTAATGCTAAAATGAGAATTATTTATGAACTGGCAAGATCGCCCTTTGATTATAAAATTATTTAATAAATGTGAAACTTGACTTACAGGTTTCTTGATGTTTTATTATTTATGCTACACAAAATGTTTATGAATACATAACAGTACACTTGTATGAATATCTCAAAAAGTAAAACACCTGTTCTGTACATGAAACCTTTACATAAATTATGAACAGACTTACCACAAACATTATAGCTACTCATTTCATGAACTGATGGTTTTGGTTTTGTTTTCAACAGTGAACTACAAAACAGAAATTATAATGACTCACTACTGTGATAAGCCTCTTTCATGAACCAAATGGTTTTGTTTTCAACAGTGAGATATATTCTATACAGGATATATATACAGACATTTTGAATCACTTTGATACACACACATAAGTTATTCATCACTTCAATAAGTTCAGTCTTCATCAACTTCTTCTTCATCACTAAAATAAGTATCTTTCTTGAACCGTTTCTTTACAGTCCCCTCTGCACTTGACGTGGGGAGGTTATAGTTACCAGTAGCAACCCGAACCCTATATTCTTCTTCTTCCATTCTCAGTTGCTGCAGGATTGTTTACAAAAAGATGTGATAAAAAAAAATTAATACAGTTAAAACCATGATCCCGTATTAAGTATTGTATCTTTAACTGTAACTGTCTTTTTAGACGTGAAAACTATTCAAATATGCTTTATCTCAAAAATTTAACACAAAAAATGACAGAACAACAAACAGTTTGTAACAAAAAAATGGGTGTAAGTATCACATCTGAAAACTAAAACCCACAATTTTCTTATGTTTGAGTAATTTTCATGTGAAAACCAAAAATACTGATATAAATAGAAAATTCACTAATCTAAACTAAACGAAAACATTCATAATTTAAACATAAAACAAGTATTTTAATAACAGAAATTACTGACTTTATAACACCAAATTGTCTTTTATATTCCAATATGCAGTAGAGAAATTAAATAAATAGAAAGCATTACAGAATTCTCCAGTTTTGAAAGAAAGGTATATATATATGGGACAACTTTTTACAAACCAAATGAAAAAAACAATACCAAAATAAAGATTTGTTTTATATATATGGTTATAAACAAATTCATGACCAACCTTTATATCACATAGAAACTCGTAGAAGTATGGTAATAAACGCATGATTCAAGTCGTATGGAAAGTCATATATGAAATACGGTAACAAACTTTCAAGTCATATGGAAAGTCATATATGAAATACGGTAATAAAATCATGCTTCAAGTCACATGGAAAGTCATATATGTCATAATTCATTATATTTGTCATAAGACATTATTTTAGGCCTATTATATTCCTAATTTTCAAGAATCAAAAGATTGTATTATAATAATATTTGAACCACACTATTCATCACATCCATTGTTTCTCTCAATCCTCAGGCTAGCTGGGATACAGCTAGATTACGAATGTAGTGTTAAGATCTACACTAAACCTAACATAATGTCTTACGACAAGTATAATTAATTATAATCCTGCTTCGCCAGTTTTTAAAGGGGCTCACACCCTAAAAATTGTCCGACATGATATATGATAAGCATTCCCAGTTTGCCTCTGAAGAAGAAGAAAGGCCCACCTTTCAAAAGCACTCGGGTTATAGGGTTTTTATTCGTGAAGTATGGTAAAAAAACTAACTCACGCTTCAAGTTGTATACGAACCCGATAACAAAATTATGCACTATTAATCAGACAGATCTTACTTAGGGAAAAATCAAGAATATTATAATTTAAATATCTGTTAAACCTGGCTCAAACTATTACTGTAGAGATCAAGCTTACTCGACACAGTGGACGAAAATAAACTTACCTGATATCTTATAGCAGCACTTAGGCTTTCTTCTTCTTCTTCCTCTTCTTCCTCCTCTGTCTGCTCTTGCTCTTCCCTATGAGCAATATACAAAAAGAATCTTTAAACAGATGCTAGTTCAAAAATGTACTTGGGATTTAATAGTCACTGCGTGCCTCAATGTCCAGCTTACAACACTGTACTCGATGTACGTAAACGGTTAAGGTCAGATTATGTAATATCTATTTCTTTCTAATGAAATTTGACCAAATATAACGATAAAGAAGTTTGAAACAGATGAACCAGCTGATGAGACCTCAATATTCAATTAATGTATTGTAAACTAGTTAATTTAAATAGATTGTATTTATTAAGAAAATAGTCTCACCAAACCAAGGACAGTTTTATTACAAATATTTATCCTGGGTGAATGAATAATGTATGAAACTTCCTCATCACATTATGGTGGTTCAAAAACAGTCTTCAAGAATATAACAAAATATAGGAAGTAAACTTATCACATAACTATGATTAATAACGGTCTAACTTCACGAATATAACAGTTAACATTCTCCAATACTGAAAATGTATTTCTGATAGATACTTCACTCGCATCTGGTTTTCCAGATTCACTGCTACCCTCTATATGCAAACTTACTGTGCTGTTGCATTCAAATGATCATGTGACAACCCTCCACCAATAGAAGTGTGACACTGCTTGTTAATGTCTTTTTATATTGGTTACTCAATCATCACTTTGAGATTAGGCAAGAAGCACTGGAAGCAGGTAGGGGAGTATCTATTGGAAAATGTTAGCTTCTGATACAATACATGACCTCCTCTCATATCTAGCTAAAATCCCATGTTGAAGTGGTGGAGTAATCTGTGCCAAAGGTTTGCCTAGAAGAGCCCCCTTTGGGAAGAGCCCATAGAGAACCCATGGAGTGTGACACCCTATACTTTGGAACACTATACAAACACACTTGTAGGAGACTATAGCTCACATTTACCCGGGTACACTCTTTGCTTGGAAGGGAAGTGGAGTGTCACAAGGACAGGTGGAAGATGTGATCAGAGTCCTAAACCTGCATCAGGCTTTCAGAAGTATTATATGTGTAATGCAGCTAGGGCATGCCAGACTGTAAATGATGGGTCAACTCCAGTACAAAACCAGGCAGTACCAGAAATTTGGCTTCTGTGCCACAGTGGGGTTAAGGCCCCCTACCCTCTTCACCTAAAGTCCAGTGAGGCAGAACAGGAAAGTAACAGCTGCCTTGCAACTGAGTGAGGACTCAATGTTGACTGGTCCTGAACTAGTTCAACACCATACCATCTTGGAACCCAACATCCAAGTAGCGGTAGGATGGGGGAGAGAACCAGCTAGATGGGTGAACTGTACTAAAACCCTACCATCCTGCTCTCTACTGAGTGGAATGAGTCATATTCAGAAGGCAACTTTTGTGGTTCATCACCCCAGCAGCTAGGGAACTGTAAGTGGCAAAGACTTCCATGATCCACTGGAATAAAAAGGGGTGAAATCGCACTGAGGAGTCTGGAGGAGCATGTCATCATTATAAAGCAGTGCAACAAGTGACCATGGAAACCTTATTTTGAAAACCAGGCCAGTACTAGGTCTTAAACTAAACATAGAGGATGGGTAGTAATCCCCATCCATGAGGGGTACAGTCTGGATATGGCATTTTTTAGGAAAAGGAGCACCACAAGGATACCTCAAGCAGTCTTGTGGAACACTCCATCTCATGGGTGAGCACTATATCAGGTCTGGATCTGGCCTTGTTTAGGAAAAGGAGCACCATAAGGATACCTCAAGCAGTCTTGTGGAACACTCCATCTCATGGGTGAGCACTATATCAGGTCTGGATCTGGCCTTGTTTA